CTACGCAATCTTGCTACAGTTGATACGCAGAGATGGTATACTGTATATAAACAGACTGATTACTGTTGTACACATTTCAGAATGTGTGACAATTAAATCCCTTGGATCCTCTGTAAATGTAGCTTCTCTGTTACCAGATAGCAATCAGATAAATAATTGGTGAGCCCTGGTTATCACTGTCTATAAACAGTTTCATTTTAAGCCTGCCAAGACTGCCTTGTTAGGTTTTTTTTGTAATTTAGTCAATTGACCTTGACTATAAGAGAGCAGGCCTCCAGGCATTGTCCCTCCCCCACTGTCTCTCTCTCCCAGGTTTAAAATCCCATCAACAAAATTATCCTGATATCCTGATTAGAACAGAAGCTTCTCTGTACTGAGGTTGCTCCATTCAAATATTAATATTCGAATTAAAATATAATTTATTACATTATCTTGCTCCTCAGACTGACTCTTTAATTTTTATGGGAGCAATTACATATGATTTACATAGACATTCATATAAGACCTGTCTACAGCCATTAAATTAGCCTAGCTTGAATAATTTGATACTCATCTTAAATGGAGAACCACATTTAAAAATAACTGTATAGCAGCAACGTATATAAGACCAGACAAGTCTGGCTCCTTTAATGTTAGGTGCATAGTTTTAAAGCAAAGTACTATTTGTAAAATACAGCAAAACATGTATCCTGTCTGGAAAAGCCTAAAATCTTTTACTCTTGAAAGAAGAAGATTTTAATGCCCAATGCAGAAATTATAAACATGTGACCTAATATATTGGAAAAAGAAACCCATAACTGTGAACACTTTGTGAATTATTGGTGACTGGAAATTCCTCTAGGTATTGGAATAGTAAATACAGTAGCAACATTTTTAAGATTCCTATTTCCTTGACTTTTTCCATTGTCATTAACTTAGACCTTTTTTGTTCTCTCTATAAAGAATCATCTTTCTCCGTCTGAGATTTTTCAAGATCTTTCATATGATGACTCTTTTCCTTCACACTTTATATTAGATACTGTGTTACCAGAGCAGGAGCCTGCAAGAACATTGACGGTTTGTATATTATGTGGTCATGATAATGAAGAACCTGAGCTCTGTGTTACTTGGGGGATTATAGATATCATAACCATACCTCTTTGTCATTGAATTAAATCCACCTGCAAGAGCTGTGACTCTGTAGACCAGCTGAAAAATACAAGAATATTCTAAAACCCATTCCAAAGAGACTGTAAGAATTATTTTCAAACAAACTAAACATAGTACCATCAGAAAAGAGTGTTAAAGAAGATACGAGTGCTCCAAGCTACTTCTTCTTTCTTCCCTATGAGTTCCTTCACAAACTTAATTGGTTTCTTGTAAATTGTTTTTACTAAAGCTATTGTATAATAAACCCTGACTGGCATGTTGGTGTGATCACAGAGGGTAATCCATCTTGGACCATGTGCTAAATATGTTGGATTGTCTACATAAAGTTCTGATGGAAAAGTTGTCGTGGCACCATGAGGCTTATTCTTTTAGCACTCATATGAAGGTCATGGGCTTGAAATCTTATCTGAATGGTCACAATTATCTACTGTATGTGTTCCACATGACTGTGTATCTCTGCACTCACTGGCATGGCACACTTTAGGGTAAGCAGAGTTCCCCAAAGCAAGAAATTATAATTTTAATAGTCATATACACCGTTTCCTGTTAATTTGCCCAGTTTTGCATGACAATTAGCAAAGAAAGAAATACTTGCATGTACAGTATATGGGTACTGAAGGCTGTATATTCTAATTGTATGGTACGTGGTAGTTTAATGTATAGTTGCTGGTCAAAAGGGCTGTAAAATATAGGTGTAAGGTTGACCAATTATAGTCAATTTAAGACAATCTTACATTCATGTAGAGGAAAGATTAGGGGTTGACACATAACATCAGTGCACAGCCATTGTGACTGTCAGTTTCATGCCTATTGAAGAAGATGTCAAGGGTGTTTATTTTGAGGTTTTAGAAATGTTTAAATGCCTATATATTTCGAAAGCGCTTCAGTTCCTGCAGTTCTCTTATCGACCCTCAATGTGCATGTCTTACACTCCTTAGGTTTCCAAATTTAGTAAAGCTCTAGCTGTGTTAAATTAGGCGGAAGTTCTTAACCTTTAGCTACTTTGCTCTGAAAAGCCTGTTTAGAGAGAAGACTTTGCTTCTTAGTATAATTCACAGAAAAGCATTTAAAGCACCAAAAATATATTTGTACCTTGTTGCCAAATAACTTGTCACAGATTTCATTACAAGTGCAGTTTTTGGTACAGGCTCAGCAAATTCACCGCTTGTCAAAATGCATTTTCAAAAAATGAGATTATTTTTTGTTGTTTATTTGTAACAGAAGATATTGCATGTGCTAATCAAAAACTGAGCACATCAGCGTATACAGGTTGTTTTAAACTTTCCATGTCAGTTTTTTAATACAACATTTCTATGGGTACAATCCCCATGTTATTGGTGTTATATTTTGGGAGTTTTAAAATACACCCGTAGCCTGTTGGTGAAATGCCAGATAGGGCATTGTTTTAATACTTTAGCATTTGTCACCAAAACAGACCCATACTGTACTTCGATGACATAAGTGGTCATTTGGAACTCCCCTTTCCTCATAAAGGATTCAGTCTTCTTTCTATTTACCTCACGTTTCCGTTGAAAACATACTATTATTTTGTATATGCAGCCTCATCATTTCAAAATGGATTGTAATGTGAAAACATATCCAGAAAGAACTTGGCTGGATTTGTATATGAGCAGGATTCGTCTGACAGCTTGCTTACTTCATTTTTTTTCAGTCAGCTTATCTGATCCTTGGATGCTTTTTTTTTCAACTTTTTGCCAAAAGCAGACAGTTTTTGCATATACTAATACAGTCATGTATTTACCACCCTAAAAAATGCCTAACTGCCTAATCAGTGTATGCAAGGGGCTTTAGGAAAATGTTGTATTTGATGAATAAGAGAGGAGCATTATCTTTTGTGAATAAGAGACGGTGGTAATGTATTCGTCATTCTGATTCAAGTTCCACGAAGGGTCTGTACTTTGCTGTATGTTATTCTAGGATTGGCTGGTTTTTAGTGAAGATGTGATGGTGAGTTTGATAAGTGTCCGTTCCCTGTAAATATTTTTTGGAGGATAAAATATTAAAAAAAACTTCTTCTACAAGTATTTGGGAAAATTAACACACATCTGCAGTATGTATGAATATGATATACTGTAGGGAAATGAACCTCTCCTAAAAAAAAAACTTAGGTGCTTAAGCCTAAACACAAATCACCACAAATCAACTTTAATGTTAGTGTGAAGTCAGACCGTAAAATTCCCAGTATTCCTCTTTTGGCATTAGCAGAAGAAAAAATAGGTCATTCCAATGTCCACTACTGAACTCGACTCTAAATACTAAGAGTAGCCAATTTAAGCAGCACAGTGGCTAGCATTGCTGCCTTGCAGCACTGGGGCCCTGGGTTCAATTCCAGACCTGGAAGGCTTTCTGCATGGGGTGTATATGATCTTGTGGGTTTCTTCCAAGTGCTCCCAGTGTCCAACAACATACTCGTACAGTAGGTACAGTGGCTACTAGGAAAACTGTCCCTAGATGTGTCTGTGTATGCACCGAGATGGACTGCTGTCCCATCCATGGTGGACCCTGCCTTGCACCTGTTGTTGCCAGGACAGACTCTGGCTCCCCCCCACCACCCTGAACTGGGAGAAGCTGTTAAAAAAGGACAGATGGATAGTAGGCAATGTCAACTACGAGTTTTATATGTCATGTTGTTGGAGTCTGATATCCTGACTGACAGCTGTGTTTTTCCCCACAGTCCTGGTCCAGGATGTGAAGACTTGTTCTGGACCCTTCACCCTTTTGGCAACAAACTTCGTGGCTCTAATCTCAACAAAGCCAGAGGATCTCTTCTGAATTTTTAAAAATAGACTTCAATAATGAAATGTCTTGATTACGAATGATAATGTTAACAATAGTGGTATGATAAATGCTCAGATTTATCCAAAACAGAATAAATCCAACAATAGCTAGTAGAGACACAAATAAGACTTACAGTCGAGTTCTCCTCATCGTCATGCATTTTTTCAGTTCCTTTCCACAGTACATCACAGATGAGGATTGATGTAAATTCATATTTTCAATGTCAATTATATGTAATTGAACCAATTTTTGGCTGTTATCAATTTCTCCAGGTGTTATAAACAGTTTCCTGGGAAAGGGACTTTAGAAACACTGCACTTAAAGGGCTACAGTGTACATATACTGTACAACACAACCCAGATGTGTCCTAATTTTATTAAAACTACATGCACACATCTAAGTCTTAAGCTGTCAGACACAGGAGGCTGCTTCTCCACAAGCTTTGTGGGTTTCTGCAGTACAGGGTTGACAGGCATTAAGCCTGTCACAGAAGCTGACATCGCCCACTCCAAACCTGGTGTGCACTGATTTGTGCCGTGCCCAGCAATGAACTTGAGGGGGTGGCAGCTGCTGAGCTTGCTGGGAGGAGAATTAAACAGGGCCCGGTTGGCAAAGAACCCTTTACTGAAAGTGAAGTCAGTGTCTGGGAAACTGGACAGTGGAAGAGCCATCCCCATCATGTCTCAAACCAGCTACCCATTCTTTGCAGATCACTACACTAACAGTAACCAAATAAGCAGCATGGGCTCAATGGACTTCTCTGATCCACAACCTTTTTTATGTTCTTAATTACTCCTAGAACTGTCAAATAAAAGTTTCTCATAAAGGACATGTTTATACAAAGAGCAAACAAAAATTTAACTATTACATCTGAAATAAAATGTAAACAGGTCATTTTAAGCAAGATTAGTGCAAAATCTAGCAATCCTAGTCTATTTCCTGTTGTTTTACAGCAACGTACTGATCATATCACTAAACTACACAGGTCTGTACTATCAAACCGAAGAACTCGAAGAGCAATGAGGCTTTTTTTTTTTTACAATTTTGAACAATGACTTTTTAGAAGTTGTTTTATTATGAATAAAATCAGTTCCTGATTTTTTAAAATGAGGTTTGTAGTGATGAAGCATTACATAAAACAGTCCTAAAAGGTAAGTGCAGCTTCTGGTAATTAGCATTTGTAAAGTAGCATTTCACAAAACTGCTAATGTAAAACGCGTTACAGCAACTGTTTGAACCTATAATATTTTACAGAAAACGTAGGCTTATAATTACCATCACCTTTTCCAAAAACAGGTATGAGCCAAAACACATGGAAAAATCCCACAGATAATCAAGCTCTCTTCATGCATTTTGTCAAGTCTGATGAACACAGCACTCTTACCTGATAGCACTACTTGAAAACCGCTAAAAGTTCACCAAGTCATAAAATGAGAAAAACACATGGCTGAAGCTCCAAACACATTTAAAACTTTACACATGCAACCCCATGTTATTCTACGAACCAAAAACATTCATGAAATGTGTAAAAAACTAAACAGTTAATCGGCTAAAACTACATGCAAATGCACTTTGTAAATGCACAGTTGTTGGTAATTTTTCTTTAAAGGTTTAAAATAGACGTCAGCAATGGTCCAATACAGTTTTAACATTGTCATCGAAGCTTCAAAAGCTTCTTTCTGATAACTACAGCGTACTCTTGTCTCAATTGCTGGAAATACTCCTGAAAAACATAAAAGTCATGATCACCACTGAGCAAAGAATTTGATGCATCAAGACAACTCTTTTACAATAGTTGATATGATAATATGGTGCTGATAAACATTATCCAACATATCTGATCACTTTCCAAAAAGTCATTAAATTTCCACAATTTAGAGGAACACCAAACTCATACAGGACTTTTTATATAAAAACAATTAGTGGAGTGTAAATTGTGATTTAGTGGAAGCATATTTATCACATTTAAAACCATAATACATAGCTTCTAATGCTGTACGTTCATATTTAGTTTACACAAAAAAAGCTAAAAAAAGACACCAGTAATGAAAGTGAAGCACAGTCCTTCAGAAGCAGATTGTATCATGGTCTTCAAGAATAAAAATGGCAAAAGACGTTTAGACAAAACCAGATTCGGTCAAGATTTTGTCAAAACGTTTCAGATTCTAAAGAGATCTGGCTTTAAAAAGCACCATCATGCTGTCAATGGCTGTAATGAGGCACAGGAGGCAGCTCCTAGCAACCCTGTGTAGGGGAAACCAGCAAAGTTCCATCTTAGCCATATGGAAGAATCTACTCATTCATATTTCTGTAAGGTAGGCATAACCTTATTGGTGCAAACAGGCAGCAGGGCCGACATTCCCCTGAAAATGAGGTAATACACTGCACTGTGCTCTTCAAAATTAACTGTTCGTCAGCACCAGTGGCTTCATTCCTATCTTTAGTTCAGCGGAGCTGGTGTCGCAATGAAGCGACTACAGGTTAGGCAGCTACAGAGATCACAACTCGTCGTGGTTTTTGGTGAGATCCTCTCCATAATTTGTGGCCTGGCTTCCAACAAACATGTTCCAGTTCTCTAGAATCTCTTCTTTGGTTAACATTTGATCCTGAAATTGAAAGAGGAGAAACACTTTGTTTTAACAACAAAGAATCAATGGTTAATAAACAACAAATATCCATACACTACAATATTATTATTACACTGCACTGCAATATTATTATTACACTTATACTTCACGAGGGAAATAATATGCATATAATTTTAGTTTTTTTCTGTAAATCCATAAATGTTAAATCTGGTGGTAACATTCAAGCTGGGCAACAGGGTAGAAATACTTTTCACTGCTATTACAGTATATTTCTTTTTGGCCTTTTACAGAGGATGTTTCCAAGTTTTAAAGCTTAACAGCAGGATTTACATATCTTTTACAATGCATGCATCGTTTCTACTGGAATTATGAAAAGTGCTCCAGATTGGCCAGCTTGGAGTAAAATGATCTTGATGGGGTACCTTATCCTTGTCTGACTCATAGACCAGATGCCTAGCTTCAGCCTGGGCGTGATCATAATCCTGAGGAAGAATCCAGTGCCGAATTTCATCTTTATCCATCTTTCCATCTTTGTTTAAGTCCCGAAAGTCTGAGAACTGCTCTCGTTCCGTTTTCACCCAGTCGGGCTCAGGACCACCTTCTTCATGAGCAAACATATCAGCTGGAATAGAGAATGGTACAGCTGCCATGTAACCATGTAACCCAGCTGTGACTGTGTGCGCATACTGTGAATGTTAATGCACAACGTGAGGTTCTGCAAGTACAGTGTTCTGCTGAAACATGCCTCCTTCCATCCATTTTTTACCTGCCATAGGGGAGCCAAAGCATATCCTGACAAGCAATGGGCGCAAGGCAGGATACACCTCGGGCAGGACGCCAGTTCATCGCAGGGCACAAACACGCACACTCTCACACCAGGGCCAATTTTCCCAGAAGCTAATTAACCATCTACTATGTCTTTAGGCTGCAGGAGGAAACCGGAGCACCCAGAAGAAGTCCATGTTAACACTAGGAGAACATACAAACTCCACGCAGACAGCACCCCAGATCCAGAATGGAATACAGAACCCCAGTGCTGCGAGGCAGCAATCTGATTAAAAAAAAACTTTTAGAACTGAATTACCGGATGTATGTCTCAACAGGATTATAAAGTCTATAATTTTTCCCCATAATGTTAAAAAGATTTCCAGAATGAAATCAAATGTTTAATCCATACGCCCATATATCCACACCACTTGCAGACAATGAACAACATCTACACTGGTAAAATGAAAGACATGCTGAAATGTACTACAAAGCTCTGCTTGGTTTTTAGCAGCTATTTCATACGAGTCAGAAATAAAATTATATATTCAGGTTTGGCATGTTTATGGCAAATGCGCTTTAAAAACACTGAAAAGCAAGAGAAAATGTTTTTGTAACTCCACCATTCATTCACACAAGTAACCCAATCCTGTTTAGTCAAAAACTGCATGAGATTTTAACCATCTCATAGGTCCGAGTTCAAAATGCATACACATTTTCTACAAGCGAATTTAATTTAATCAAACATTCCTCCGTGTTATTTTTTAGCGGGATGACATGTTCAGTCAACCTATCCTCAGGAAGGTCAGGTACCACAGAAAATAATGGGGCTTGACCTCACAAGGGTTAATTTCATAAAAACTGTCAACATCAGGCGGCAGTAACAGAACAACCACCATGTCCACGTTTCAAGCTAGGAGACAACACTTGTTCATGCTATAACAAATGCTGACAACTACCTAGTAATTATATGAAGGTAATTTCACTGAATGGACTTTAATTACAGAGGAAATTGTACTTCTCTATTGTATTACCCGTACATGGTGTGCATTCAAATAGGGAGTCCTAAATAGAAATCATATGAAGGGAGAAGACCTGTCATCATTTTTTCTCTTTCCGCAGTTAGCTACTAAGGGTCATTACCAGGTAATTCTTAATCACTGACCTGCAGTAAGCTATTAATTGTATTCCTGTGCATTAAGATAATTCTAATTAGCTTCTGGTGATGAAATAACTCTTGAATTTTGCAAGGATTAAGAACACTGTAACATCCTTTGCAAATCGAATCATGCAGCTTGTCTATGGCTGCCCACAGAAATCAATCTCTGCCTGATCATGCAGAATTAGAAATACTACAAATGTTCATAATTTTATTTTTTTCTACAATCAATTAAAATACTGCAAGATGGCCTAAATTTCATGAGTCTGCCCCATTAGTTTATTAAAAAGGCCAGGTCACTTGGTGATTTTAGTCTGGGTTTTTAATCGTCGGCTACTAATTAATGAAATATGCAGAAATTCCTAAAAGACCATGCAAAACTTACCAATATACTCATCCTCATCGACAAAGCCATCATCATTTTTATCTATGTCTTCTAGTGTTTCCTGAAAACAACAAAACTGGTTAAGAGCCTATTTCAAACAGGGAATGCAAGGTCCAAAGGAGCCTAATTTCGACTATGTGCAGTGTAAGAAAACAGCCCCAAGGTTTCTCTTGTATCGGTTTTACTCCTGTAACAGAGCAATTACGCACTTACGCCACTGACAGAATCTGCAAGCATGTTTTAGCAGTGCGATATGATCTTGTTAACATTTCACGGTTGAACATACTACATGTGATATATCTATAAATTTCCCCTTGAAGGTAAAGGCCTAATAATGTCAACTCTGAGCAGCATTTCCTATATTGTGCTGAGACCTACTATTTTTTTCTTGTTTCTTTGTAAGGCCTGCCTTATTTTTCACGCAGTGATGATTTTTTTCTTCTGCAGTTTAATTGCAATTTACACAGCGATAAGACAGCAGTGTGCTTTTTGTTGCACAAAATCGATCTCCTGCTAGAGTGCGCACCATACAGAAGTGAGAATAAGACTGCAAGAGAAGCTGTATTCTGTGTAACAGAGTGAACACAGAGAGCCGTCTCTCGTACTGTGCATTGCACCATCACAAAATCTGCATAATGGTGAGTCCTTGCTACTCCTGTCCTTAACCCAAGTGCCTAACTGAAGTGATGAAAAGAGAAAGTAAAAGCATAACTTGATATTTTGAATTATGAATTAGCATAACTATAGTTCCCATATCATTCAGCATTGTCTGGGACATTATGGAATACAATTTCTTAAATGTATTAAAGGAACAGATAGGGAATTAAATATTTTATACTACTGCACTGCTAAAAATGTCAGATGTACACAGACAGTAAATCGGTTGTGTAGCTTCTATATTAGGACACCAAATCAGGCATTGCATTTTTCCCTCAATAAGAGTCAGATGTTTTCTTCAGTTAGAAGACGATTCAGTCAGAAATGTTGCTAAACTTCAGCCAAAGCAAGTCAGCTATGCTTGACAGTTCTGAAAGAAGTCTTATCTTCTAGTAATGGGGCAGTGGACCACCTCATACCAAGACCCTTGATCACTGTTGTTTTGTTATCATTACCCATCCAGATGGGGCAGATGGAATCAGAAATCAGGTTTAGGACACAGGCTTTTCTTTCACGGTCATATGATAAATTTCTTTTTCAGATGAAAACAGTCAATTCTGTGGATTGCACTAATCTTTTCTCCCCAGGCTGGTTTAAAATTTCTTTATGTAACAAATATTTCTATATATATATAGTTATATACAAACTGGAATGACAAATTTTTAAAATCAATTTGGCATTCCAGAAACAACTCTTAAACTTCTGTAGAGAGAAGGGGACAGATCATGCTGAATTAGAAATTATGACAAATGGTCATAATTGTAATTGTGCACTTTTTATTTTTTGCAACAAATTAAAATACTGCAAGCTGGTTTATACATCATGAGTGAAATTGCTCCTCTATCACACCCATCTGTAGGGCATGTTGCAGCCTCCACACTGCCTGGTAGGAGAGATGCACGTCTCTCAATGACATCACTGCACGCTTTTTTTATAATAGTTTTATTCAGAGTATTCTAACCTTTTCAATTCAAAGCTGGGGAGGTGCCTTGTCCTTGCAAATCTCTAATAGACTGAAAAAAGTGATCAGGACAGGATAAAAGATAACCAGTGATTCACTGAACTCAATACATGAGAAACATATTAATAATAAACTCTTAGATGATCCCTCTCATTCACTCTTTTTAGTATATACTCTTATACTCTCTGGGAGGGGGTATGAGACCTCCTGTATAAAGACTAAGCAAGCATTTACTATCTTTATGCCTAAAAGCATTCAACTGTTGAACAATAAAAAAAAGTTTATTTTTAATACAAAGGTAGGAATCTTATTGTTATGGATTTTAGACTCTCTACAAGCTAATTGTTTTTTAATCTTACAGTATTGGAAGAGTTCTGACTGAGTCATATTGTTGAATTTTGTCTTGTATTATGGTATTGTACTGCTGTTGTGTTTTAATATTGTCATGTATGTTATACGTTTATAAGCTTTTGACACGCAAGACAAATTCCCTTAAGAGCAATGAAGTTGGATTCAAGCACTGAATCAAGCTAGGAGCCACCTGCGAGGTTAAGGAAGTCTCCTCAACCTGGTGTAAGTCTGACTGATCTCAAGCTCTGGCACCGGCAGCAATTGTTCCCACTGTGTGCCACCCCCTGGGGAACCCCAGTCACAACTGGCTAGCACCAGGAACCAGAATCACTTTGCTTCCAAAGGCTGAGCCACTTTGAAGCCAGAGAATTTGAATATTTTAAAATAATTCAAATTATGCATGAGAACACGGGAATTTTCCTAAGCAGTAGGACACATGTAAGCAAAACCTAAAACTGACCTGAGGCAATGATTTTCTTTTTTTATGGCAGGGGTGAGACATTAAACGCCCGAACAGTTCTAGAAGATCCAGGCTCAGCTCTCAATGCTGTGCTAAGGATGGATGGAGCTTATACAGTAGATGCATAAGAAAAATTCCAAACATTAGACTGTGATGTTGTTTCTGGTTCAGAAGCAGAGACTTGTTTTCCTGACAAGTTCCCATTTAATACAATAAAAGTATTATAAGAAGGTTGAAACAAGACAACTTTGTCAAAGTTTTAACAGAACCATATTTTCGGAAACATAAAATATTGACATGCTAAAATGGGTACTACAACTTTCATGAATTTAGAAACCTAATGCATTAGTTCTCATGTTTGCCTTGTGCTCGGTGGTCAAATCTATATTTAAAAATCAAGTAAGTAAGTAGAGTGTTAGTTCTGTCCCATAAGACGTTCTAAAAAGTCTGTTTTAAGAGCACCGTCTGCCTTGTTATTCAGAAGTATAGACAAATACCATCTCTGTGGCAAGCTAGTATATAGAGATTCATTTATCACAGCGGAATGGAAATACTTTTCTATTGGCCTAATCATCTTCATCATAAATTTCAGAAACCTTGCTTACGCCAAGAAATGTTACAAAGTAGATTGTGAAAACTGATCTAAAGCCAGGAAAAACATTTCCCATTCATAAGCAAATAAGATGCCATGTGTACACGGTAAACCCTGACCTAATTCTGCACGTAGATCAATGAGCTGCTACAGCTGAAGTGTGTAGCAGCTTGCGGTTTTAATCCAGGCTTTGTGTAGATCAAAAATAAAAACAATAATGTTAATGTATGAAAATGCTACCTCCCATCAACAACATTTTTAAGTCTCCAGAAAAACTTTGTTATAAATTTAGATTATGGTACACTATGCCGACTCCATGTACGTGTTAGGATCACAATTCCGCTGCATGACCCACTTTCAGCTCAGCTTCTGCTGGCAAAAGGAAGGCCTGACATTCTCCTCCAGAATTCGCTGATACAGCACCACATTTATGAGGGAATAGCAGACTCAAACCAAGAAATTATAATAAATTGTAATTTCCATAATTACTCTGGGGGTTCACCCACTTTTTTTTTTCAGTACTGTAACTAAACATGAAAACAAACCTTCTGGTCTTTCAGCAGGTGGATAATCTAAGGAAATCAAGGAGACTCATGGGGTACCTACACGTTCTAGGCTCTGAACATATGATGAGCGGGTTATTGGCTTCGCTATTTTAATCTCTCTGGCCACTCTTTTTAAAAGTTAAAACTCCAAATCTCATTTTCACACCAGCAGAACATTCTTTCTTAAACACGAAAACACATTCCAGTGACTTTTTCACATTAACAATGCCATCTTTGCAGCAGTCTAAGAATATCCTAGAAAAATGTCACTGTTTCCACACATCCAATGCTTGAGAAAGTTTAGACGGTTTAACTTACAAGGACGACAATATCCTTCATGTGCTCAAACTCCTCTGGGTGAAGGAAAGCTGTAAATTCCTCCCGACTAGCATCCAGGTCACCATCAAGGTCAGCGGCTTTGAATCTCCTCTCATCGCGTGGTAGCATCTTTTTGAAACTGAACTGCTCGTTCGCATCTTCAAATTCTTCTGGATTGGCTGAAAGTTGTGGAAACCGCCCAGACAAGATTAATACTGAACCACAGCCAGATAAATCCACAAAATATGATTATGTCAGCTTTTTTAAAGGATATCACAAAAACCTTTGGCAATGTTGTGAAAATCAAAAGAATGACAGGCCTTTAAGTATTGCACAGCCCATCACTAACAAGCATTTTGCTTTTGAAAAATACTAACTGCTGTGTAGCAGGTGTTAAATGAATTACATAGTTTTCCAATTCTCAAAATAATCAGATGAGGTAGGACTGTGATTAGTGTTCTCCACAATACATACATATATATATATATTTGATTTCTGCAAATTATAGAAAATTAATTTGATCTCATGTTTTTTTTTAAAAAAAAGACTACACATGATTGCAATGGGAAATATGATAATAGTGAATCATTTGAACCAAAGGAAAACTGGAACTCGTTAACCTGGTTAACAAATCACTTTGCATAAGTATCTTAGTATTTAAATCTTAATACAGTGATGTTCTATGTAACAAGCAAATTTGTCAAGAAAAACAAATACTCAGATGCAAGCAATAGAAACTGAAATCTGATTAGAATAAAATGTCTTGACTAAAGCAGGAAAAAAACAACAACTGCACCATGTAAAACAAGATAATTCAATTAATTTATATCCTACCCAGATAATAGCCATAGGTAGCTTGCTTGTACTCATCCCATGAAATTTTGTTGTCCTTGTTTAAATCATAGTCTGACCAAACCTTTGCGACGTTTTCATAAATGTAGCGTTTCTGAACTCTCTTGATCCAGCTCTTCAGCTCATCGGTAGATACATAACCATCTTTATCACTGTCAATCCTGTCTACAATTTTCCTGAAAAACAACATGCACCCATATCTGTTAAAATCAAGAAATAACCAAAGCATATGAATAAAAAGTGCCATGTGTTAAAGTGATGTTAAAATATAAAACTACTCCAAACTGTAATGATCATGGCTACTATTAGTTATAGCACAGACTAAGTATTAAAATCATTTGTGCAGTGCTATTTTGCCACAATTCTAAAATATTTCACTGTTCCATTTCCTTAAAATAAATGGTGAAAAGTTTGAAAGCTAATTGTCAGTCAAAAAAAGATACTGTAATTCTAAGAAGTACAATTAGTTCCTGAGGTTTTGTTGGTGATTGGTCATATTAGCAATTCAATCGTTTTACTCTATTGCAAATGACCTCTCCAGCTACTCTTAATAATTTAGAGCTGTATTATCATTTCAATAAGAGAAGGCCACTTAAACTGCCTGAAAAACTTAAATCCCTACCTGGACCCAAAAACACCCCTGCGCGTTTTGCAAACTTGTAACTATCACACGTTTACTCATTTTCAATTGGACAAATCATAAAGTCGAAGCTTTTTTTTTTTTTGCCAGAATGCGGTGAACTACGTTAAATGCAATGAGCAAAGTTTAAGGAGGTGCAAATGTAAGAGGTGAAACACACGTTAAATCTTTTGTCCAAAGTGATTTTATAATAGATGTAAGAAATGTGTCGGAAGCTCTACTCTCATGACACACGATGACAAAAAATAAAAATGGAGGTGAGAGCCTATCTATTGTAAATATCTTAAAAGAGGACTCTCGTAGGCAAAACGCAAGTTAACTTCTCAGAACCTCTCCTATCCACAAAACTTGACATTACTTAGGCTATACTATACTTTCTAATGCCACGTTGTTATGTTTATTAGGGCCCGCCCAGTCTGAGCCCCACAGTAAGGAAACTAAACACCGCTAGATGTGCTGCCTACGCCCATCACAGCCAACGTGGGTAACACAATTATACAACCACTTGCTCTCACGTGAAGAGTTTCGTGGCAGCATTACTTGGCACTAAAATAGATTCATGGTCAGATACCATGTACCGCATAAGTCACTTCTGTTAGGGTCCTTGTACATATCCCGTTGCATCTTGAATTGAGTAATTGATATATATTTTGGAATACATATTGGGGATTGCTATTTTATTAATTGCTTGCTTAGCAGACGGCCTTCTTCAGGGAGGTTTACAAAAAATGGACAGTACATAGAGTAAATACATAACCAAAATGTGCATGTCATTCAAATACAGTAGGAAAAGTAAAAATACAAATTACAGGGAAAAACAACAGGCATACATTACACAAATGTCTACACGGGTAAACAATATATACCAGTATGAAAATTGATTTTCACTTTTTACTCATTTTCACCATATAAAAAGGAATGCCACTGAACAGAATGTATCAAAGTGGGGTTGGATTTGTTGTTTTCTTTTCTTAATTAAAAAAAAAATCGACAGTTGTTTAAAACTTTTTTTTTATTTAGATGATTAGTATTAGGTGGATTCCAGAGAGTACCACTCTATATTTACAGTATGAAGCTATGCATGGCTCATTTACCACAGGAACATCCGAATAATTTAAGGCTTTAATTATGCAAATAGATCAAGCACAACATCGTGGCATATCCCCCAGGGATTAACTGGAGAACTCGCAGGACCCCAAATCGAGAGTAACTCCGTCCTAAAAAGCATTAACATTATCACAAGCCCGACAGCTTCTGAAACTAAGCACCCAGCCCATAAATAACGTTCCTTGTAATCATGCCTAGGGCAGAAAATCGCTGAATATTTTATTTTAGGTCAAAATGAGAGTGGGTGCTCTGAAATTGCTGTGCCCATTCTTGATCCAAATTATTTACTCTTCATTTTTCCCCAATAAGAACCTCTTGTACAGTACGTCAGCCAGGCGGATAACAGAACCTCTTTTTAAAGTTGTCTTACCCAAGCCTTTCCTTGCTCTCTTCTGGAGTTAGCTGGTCAAACGTCGTGGCCTCTTCTTTTCCTAAAAAGGCCTCATGATCATACTGGTAGCTCTGGTTGTCTTCATGGGGTTCCTTACTCAGTTCGGGGTCGGGGTGAACTCGTTCTTTCTTAAACGTGGGTTTGCTGAACACGGTCCCTGCACACAGCAGCACCAAGCACATTAACCCGTCCATTGCCTTTGCTACTTACCCGCACCCAATCGTGCAAAATAGTTACAGAAGTTAGTTAGGTAAAGACCCAAAACAGCACGACACAGCAATGCTTCAACACTGCAATTCAAATATGAGCTACGTCGTAAAAAAAAAACCTGTCTCTAAGCCGTCCTCAATTTATAGCTAATGTTTCCATTCATGGATTTACTATACTGCACCGGTTATCACCTGTTTTTACGTTTCAAATGTAGCCGGTTGACTACTACTCAATTACCAGAGTACAACCAAATCCAGATTATTTGCAAATTCATACACAGCCACTTAATTCACAGATAACATGTCTCATTTCCCCTTTTTCGATGTAACCCTGGTTTCTATTGGTCATCAAACTGTCTGTAATCCGAGAGGCGGAAGCGCCACGTTGCAAGATGACACGCAAGTGGCTCTGTTGCTCAATTGTGCGAGTTTGGTCTGGGATTTGTCCTGTTGCTCTGGAAGTATTGTCTTAGCTTTGATGAAACAAACTCTAAATGTTTTTTTATATATATACACGCGTGTATAATATTTGTTTTAAATTAAATCACCCTGCACTCTTTAAGCACCGCGAAAATAACGTAGGAGTAGGTGCGAGAATAGATCTGTGCCCGCAGCACTCTGTGATGCTATGCTGTTTAAACTGTTTCTAAAATAAAGACTCCCTCCCCCCCCCAGCCCACAACAGACAAAAGAGAACCAAGGGCTCTAACACGTTGCAGTCCACCATCACTATGGGAACTCTCCCCAGTATCTTGTGTGTTCATTCTAAACTGCAAATGTACTGCATGTTCTCATTCACCTTCCTTAAAGGGGACAGTAACCAGATATAAAAACACTCCACAAAGCTGTTGCTGGTATCCGTTATGTCTTCCAAAAACTGCCTGAGAATAAGTGGCAATCTCCAATGAGTCCACGCCATTGCACCCCAAAACCCAGAATAACTCAATTAGAGACCAGAGCTTGAAATCTGAGGAGAAGAATGTCCCACTTCCATGTTGTCCAGGTGGCAGATAAGTCTCAGCAATGTTTCTGGTGGTATGACTGTAATTGGACACAAAGACCAGGTTATGTGAGATAGTATTCTCCTCTGATACTCTGGCGGTCTGTGTACCACCTCAGTGTGTAGTATTTCTTTGGCTATTGAATGTGCACTATGATCTGTTTGCATATGTCCATTATATTTTTGGCAGAATATAACTAGATCACAGGAACACGTTCTGCAGCATTTTAGAGTAATCACTATTTACCAATAGCATACCACAGTGTTTTTGCAAGATTAAAACATGGAATTTAAACTATACCATACTACTAGAGCTATGTTCTGTATATTATAGAATAGAGTAGTATCCTATTGTGCTGAATCCTATAGTATATCCATATCCGTGTTATAGTATAAACTTCAGATTAGAGTAGTATTTAGGGCTCTAGATATATACAGTATCTGATTAAATGCATTTACTAAATGCATGATGATTTGCATATCAGCATCAAAATTAATTAATTGATTAATAATGTTTCAGAATACAGTTACAAAAGGACAGAGTACAGTGGCTACCATAAGTATTCACCACCCTTAGACTTTTTCGCATGGTATTATGTTACCATTATGTTACAATATTGAATTACAAGACATTCAATTGGAATTTTTGCCACTGATCAACACAAAATATTTTATAATGTCAAAGTGAAAACAAAATTGTACAGATCCTCCTATATTAATTGTAAAAATAAAACAGAAAACAACTAATTCCATATGTATTCACCCCTCCTTTAGTCGGATGGGCAATGTGGTGAACAGCAATTTTCAACTTTTGCCACAGGTTCTTGATTGGACTAAGGTTTGTCTGGACCACTCCAGAACATTTACTTTTTTTGTTTTAAAGCCGCTCCAGTGGCAGTATGGTATGTTTTGGATCATCGCCTTGCTGGAAGATGAATCTTCTCCCAAGTCCCAGGTCTCTTGTAGACTGCAGCAGGTTTTCTTCCAGGATTTTTCTATTCTTTACTGCATCTATTTTGCTTTCTATCTCCACAAGTCTTCCAGGCCCTGAGACAGCACAGCATTCCCATAATATGGTTCTGCCATCACCATGCTTCACAGTAGGGATGGTGTTCTCAAGATGATGTACTGTACAGTGTTATGCTTGAGGCCAAAAAGATCAATTTTGGTTTCATCAGACTGTAGTATCTTCTTCCGCTTGGTTTCAGAGCCTCAGACCTGCCTTCTGGCAAACTGTAGTCAAGATTAATTTTTCAACAATGGCTTTATTTTGCCCCTCTCCCATGAATTCCAGATTTGTGAAGCACCTGGGCAAACTGGTACAGGTACAGTATATGCAGGTTCTCCCATCTCAGTCATGGAAGACTGTAATTCCTTTTGAGCTGCCATTTGTCTTTGTTGGCCTACCTGACAAATGCTCTTCTCATGCAGATACACAGATTTTGAGGATGTTCTGTTCTGCACAGATTCACAGTTTTGCCATATTTTCTCCATTTCATTCTAATGGACTTTACTGTGCTTCGGGGGAAATTAAATGCCTTGGAAATGTGCTTATACCCTTTCCCTGATTGATGCTTTTCAATAACCCAGGAAACTCTGTCCTGGATTTTCTTTGAATGTTCCTTTGTGTTCATGATGTAATGTTTGTTGGGAACTGTCAGACCTCCCAAAGGCACTGTAGGTGTAATTTCTGCAAGAGGTGCCGGTACCAATTATCGGGTTGAATACATACAATATGCAATCGTTTTTTTTCAATTTGTATTTGTAATTAATTTAGGAGAATCTGTAGAATTTTGTTTGCACTTTGACATTATTTATTAGCTAACTTTGAGTGTTATGTGTTGATCAATGACAAAAAAAACCAATAAAATGCATTATGATGTATGATGCATGTTGTAACACAATAAAATGTGAAAAACTCCAAAGGGGGTGAATATTTTTTATATCCACTGTAGTAAGTAAAATCATTATCTGAGTGATTACCTTGCTAAACTAACACAGGTGCCTTTAGTTCAGTTTGCATAGACCGGGAGTGAAGCATAAAAAACAAATGTTTTAGCTTTTACTAAATGCTATAGAAATGTATTTTGTGATTTCAGTAAAGTCTGCACATAAAGCAAAAAAGAAATATAAGTATTCCTTTATCCCAGCTTTCTTTCAGGAATACTATTCAAACTTATTTTTGAGAAAAATAGAAATTGATTAGCTCCATTTTAACTATAGCATAATTATTGCACTTCGTAATATTTAAGAGATAACTGTAAAACCAGATATAACTTGCTGAGATGCCATATTGCATTCTCCTTTATATGCAGTAAAACATGTTTTTGTCATATACTGTTAACATAATTCACCACCAAATTACATTTTTGCATATACCGTAGACTACATTTCTGGTTATAGAAGGAGCCTGCAGCTATTGGCCTTTTATTTTATAAATGAATTGTTAATGTATTTAAATAAGGTTTTGATGGTCAATTTAAATTAGGCTGCTCAAGACTTTTAAAGAAAATAAAGTCATTTTCTATCTTATATATCACTTCTTTATGTACAACCTCAACTAATTAAAACCTTGTATATTCTAACTTATTTTAATTTTATTCAAATCTATTTCATTTTTTAAATTCTAATTTAGCTCACTCACACTTTTCTGTCAAACAGACAAATGATATGACATAAAATGCCGCTAATCATTTTAGCAGAGGACAGTGCTTCAGGAATTGATTGAGCAATGTGTAGAGATGAATGAAATATTACTATCAGAACATATAATTAAGAGTTTGACAAGAGACAATAGCAGCAGTGACATTATGTTCACATGGTAGATAAATTTGTGTTTTTCAACATGAATATTTGAGGAGATGTGCTGTGTGTGTGGGGGTGTTGACTGTAGCTACATACAGCAGAAAGGAAATTTGGTTAATTTGATGAAAAAAAACCTTAAGCTGAAGGCCATGAATCATTAATCATTAATATTTTAAGCTGGATTTCCCTTCTCTGCAGTTCGTCCTTAAGCGTCTATCTGTAAGGATTTGTGTTTGGACACCATACAGTATAACTTAGTATGTATTCTAAAACACAACATTAATAAATAATAAGATTCTGGTCATATGGGATAGTGATTAATTTACTAGAAGCCACATAGGTGCTGCTATGGATATGGTAGAATATGATTTTATTCTTTGTCCGGAACAGTATTTCTGCCTGGCAATTTTGAGGAACTTCTAACCAATTTAAATGAACAGTGCAGTTCCATGTGGCAAATTATAACACAGATTTTGGTCTTACCTAAGGCTTATTAATGAGGTCAAATCATCCTCAGACTATTGAATGAGATTGCTTATGAGTTTTGATCATTTTCTAAAAATGAATCAAAATTATTTGGATGTTTTGTTTTTCCTTCAAAGAAAAGTCTATACAATAACTAGAAATCATGTCAGTTATTTCTGTCAAGAAACTCCGCGAGGTATTGGTAAAGAACGCACAACCCCTATCAATATTAACTATAAATAAAGGATTAATTAAATTTAAATTAATTAACAAATTAATTAACTCCAGAAATGTCAATCCGTTTCATCCCTCAAATGTTAATCACATATATTTATTATTTAAGATTTACACTTTGTTGAGGTAAAATGACAAAATCAGAATGACTATAGTAAAGGCCGACTTTGCTGATGGTGGGTTCTGTATATTAAAAGTAAATTATCTAATGCTCTGTAATCACTTTTAGTTTTTCCAAGACGAGTTAACATTAATTGATGTATGAATTTAACATACAAGAGTCACACAGCGATTGGGCCTCTGTTTTGTAAATGATGAGACCTGCATACAGAAATAAAGAAACAGCAGATTTTAAGAAACCTGTCCAAGATCACAAATAAAGCACAAATGTGTATAAATACCAGTCTGGAAGTTGCACATTGAATCTTTTTTTGCTGTGTGGCTCTGCTGTGGCTAAGAGACTTCCTGACTGAGATTTTTTTTGCTTGTGATGACAACAGATGGTGTGATTCCTAGAAAGTAAAATCAGCATTTAGCGAAGAAGACCCTTATCATTCAGCTGAAAGGGCTTCTGTCTGTCTTCCTTCTTTTGGCTACTGTGACAAACTGCTCATCATTGGCCATCGTAAACCTTCTTATCATAGAGGTTTACAGCCAATTTTTCAAAGAAGAACAAAAAAGAACTGTGAATTATGTTCTTCATCCCAGTCCTGGTGATACTTTTTTCATTTTCAGTGAATTTGATAGCTGCAAATCATGTATCTACAGTGGTACCTTTAAAACAGTAGAAATCCAAGCCACACATTGATAAATTACTAATAACATTACATGCAATTCATTGTGCAATAAGCTCCCAAGAAATAAGGTATGAAATATGTAGAATCCTTCATTAATTTAATAATAAATTACTGTTACATTAAATGGGAAATTGTATTCTCTATGGTTTCATGCTTTCTTAAACATAAAACTCTGACCTCATTAATAATCTACAAAAAGGCTTTTGCAATATTTTAGCAAAGCTGAAACAAAGGTTGCTGTATTACAGAACAGAGAAAATGTTGTTCATTAACACGTGGTACATATAATATAATATAAGTGTATTTACCATAATTTCCCTTTTATATGAAGAAACAAATCCTGCACACGCTATTTAAATTACACATAC